AGGGGAGTACAGAATATTAGCCCTACCCTTTCTTTCTCTGTCCCCAATAGGGCGTATTTCTTTCTCATTGGTTCCTAGTATCTCCAGACGTCTTCTCAATCTCTGTCTTGTCTGCCTGTTTTCCTTGATTCCATCCCATTTCCCTTAATTCACAAAATCTCCATCTTCTTTCCCTTGCCCCTCCTTTTCTTTTCCATGTTCCCTATAGAAAATTGCACTCAAGCTGTTCTCCCCAGTTATAGCTCAGGAGCTTGGAAAAGTAACTTTTTGGGTGTGCTGCAACTTTGAAGATTCCTATAACCAGCACTAGTTCACCACTCTGCTTTCAGCAGGAACCAAGCAGACACCTTTGTAAAATAGGACATGAAAGCTCAGTCCACCTTCTTGCCTATCCACATATGTGGGATTTAGAGATATGAAGCCCGCAAATGTAAATGTACCAGTTTTCTATTATAATTAAAGACATCAGTAGTTATTAATCATAACCATGCAAACCCTGAAATGAAAATATTGTATTCCAACAAACAGGAGAAAACTGTCTTTTTTGCATTTGTTCAGGAATAGAGGACACTGCCCCATACTGAGTCAAACAAGCACAATGTCCTTAATGTCCTTTATTTTTTATAAACAAAAGCTGAAATCTATTCAGTAAATTGAAACTAAAGTAGCCCATTGAATCAAAATGAAAAACACTGAGGAGTTGATTCACCAAATCTCTGCTGATTCCATAGACCTACTCTGGATGTGGCTTACTACCAAATTTCAGGCTTCTCACTGACAGAAGCCCAGGCTCTAAGTTCTTCTTTGAGAGCCAGAAAGCTCTTTAAAAGGATAAACAGCATTGCTCTTCACATACAGTCACACTGGCTGAAATCCAATTGCTTAGTACAGCAAGTAACATATGGAGTAGATCCATTGAATCAATGGGAATTTGGTGAGTCAATTCCTCAGTAACTTCCACTGACCCAATTGCTCTGCTTTAATTGCAATTTACTATGCTAAGATGCTATGTTACGATAGCATCTTAAAAAGCAGAGACATCACCTTGCTGACAAAGGTCCGCATAATCAAAGCTATGGTTTTTCCAGTACTAATGTATGGAAGTGAGACCTGGGCCATAAGAAAGGTTGACCGCCGAAGAATTGATGCTTTTGAATTGTGGTGCTGGAGGAGATTCTTGAGAGTCCCTTGGACTGCAAGGAGATCAAACCTATCCATTCTGAAAGAAATCAATCCTGAGAGCTAACTGGAGGACAGATCCTGAAGCTGAGGCTCCAATACTTTGGCCATTTCATGAGAAGAGAAGACTCCCTAGAAAAGACCCTGATGTCGGGAAAGAGTGAAGGCAAGAAGAGAAGGGGACGACAGAGGATGAGATGGTTGGACAGTGTCATCGAAGCTACCAACATGAATTTGACCCAACTCCGGTAGGCAGTGGAAGACAGGAGGGCCTGGCGTCGGACATGACTTAATGACTAAACAACAACAACAACATGCTAAGCAACAGGATTTTGGCTATTGATTACAATTTTCCCCCACCAAAAACTAAAGTAAAGCTTTACTAGATTGACTGACCAAACGGATTGAAATGTAAGAGTGGGTGATATCACCCACTTTTATAGTTGTGTAATCTTGGGGATCACAGAACCTTCTCTTTGTTCATCTGTATTGATTGCATCTTACAGTTTGATCTGGTATGGATTATCTGCTCAGAGAGAAAGGCACATAGTTTCCAAAAATCTGAACACATATGAAAATATACCTCTTTGGTGGCTGGTCTTGGACCGTAATAAAGTTTTATCTATCTATCTACCTCCTTGGGTCAACTGCCTGATGTAGCCCCAATACCTATCATTGTCTCTTCCTTTCTCTTCCAGCCAGCATTTAATGTTCCAGAGAACTTATTTGGGTAAACATTCATGAATGAGAAATCATACTCTCAAATGAAGCCTGCACTTACTTCCTTATGACCAATCACAAACCAAACCAACATGCAAACAATGGGAGGCATGAAAATGATAATCTTACTTTTTTCAACACTTAAAGGATTTCTGCTTCTAATAATTGTCCAATACATATAGTATGGGACAGAAAATTCAGTTTAGGCATTCCAGTTGAGTCACATTTTACTGGACAAACAGACACCTTAGATAACTCTCAGAATAGAGAATTATGGGATTTTTAGTCCAAAATATATTTTTAAAACCCCATCCTTAATGATGATAACATGCAACCACACTAAAAAATACTCGACTCCAGACACGTATTTCTGATCCAGCTGCACAGTTAAAAGAGGAAAGTAATTATAAATGAACATTAAAAGTTACAGTTAAATGCAAAAATAGTGAAACTATCTTTCATTAATCTTTAATAGCAATTTAACTGAGACTTAGGTTGTGGGGAAGGAACAATTGATTACTAGTAAGCAAGTAGCTACTCTAAATAGTTTCACAGAGTCTCATGGGGAGATATTTTCAAGCCCTGTTACTCAAAAACTTATTTGTTTGTTTGTTTGTTTGTTTGTTTGTTTATTTATTTATTTAACTTATATGCAGCCCACTCTACCCAAAGGTCTCTGGAGATGTCTGGAATTGAACCTTCATCATACCAGTATGTAATTGTACTTACTGGTTTGTGATTCTTCAAATTAAATGGCAGAAACTATGGTACTGGCGAGAGTGTAGTATAAGAATTTGAATATATTGTAGACTTTTCAGAATTTGGTCGGAGTTTTAGCCAAAATCCAAAACAGAATTTTCGTTTCGTTTAGTCGTTTAGTCATGTCCGACTCTTCGTGACCCCATGGACCAGAGCACGCCAGGCCCTCCTATCTTCCACTGCGTCACAGAGTTGGGCCAAATTCATGCTGGTAGCTTCGATGACACTGTCCAACCATCTCATCCTTTGTCGTCCCCTTCTCCTCCTGCCTTCACACTTTCCTAACATCAAGGTCTTTCCCAAGGAGTCTTCTCTTCTCGTGAGATGGCCAAAGTACTGGAGCCTCAGCTTCAGGATCTGTCCTTCCAGTGAGCACTCAGGGTTGATTTCCTTTAGAATTGATAGGTTTGTGCTCCTTGCAGTCCAGGGGACTCTCAAGAGCCTCCTCCAACACCACAATTCAAAAGCATCAATTCTTCAGCGGTCAGCTTTCTTTATGGTCCAGCTCTCACTTTCATACATCATTACAGGAAAAAACCATAGCTTTGATTACTCAGACTTTCATTGGCAAGGTGATGTCTCTGCTTTTTAGGATGCTGTCAAGGTTTGTCATCGCTTTCCTCCCAAGAAGCAAGCGTCTTTTAATTTTGTGGCTGCTGTCTCCATCTGCAGTGATCATGGAGCCCAAGAAAGTAAAATTTGTCACTGCCTCCATGTCTTCCCCTTCTACAGTGGTGCCTCGCATAGCGAGGTTAATCCGTTCCGGATTAACCATCGCTATGAGAAACATCGCTCAACGGAACCAAAAACTTGGTTTAATGCGTTCCAATGGGCCCTAAACTTACCGTTGAGCGAAACTTCTCCATAGGGGTGGCCATTTTCGGGCCCTCGCAAAGCGAGGGCGCGGCGGGAAAAGTTGCGGCGGCCATTTTGGAACTGCCGATTAGCTGTTTTCCCCCGCTTCGTTGTGCGAAAATCACTAAGCGAATTGCTTAGCGATCGTCGCACAGTGAAAAAACGCCATAGGGGCCATCGCTGAGCGAACGCTCCAGCAATGGCCCGGACCCCCTCGCTATGCGAATTCATCGCTCAACGGAGCGATCGCTAAGCGAGGCACCACTGTATTTCCCAGGAGGTGATGGGACCAGTGGCCATGATCTTAGTTTTTCTGATGTTGAGCTTCAGACCATTTTTTGCACTCTCCTCTTTCACCCTCATTACAAGTTTCCTTAATTCCTCCTCACTTTCTGCCATCAGAGTGGTATTATCTGCATATCGGAGGTTGTTGATATTAGATGTTCCTAAACCAGTGATCTAAAACATTCATTTTAGACTGTAAGCTTAAATTTATCTGAGTGCCTCCATTCATATAGAAGTGTTATAGATTCACTAAGAAGAGAACCTTCTCTCTGATGGCAATTCAGTCTGGAATGCTCTCCCAAACAGACACAACTGACAAAATGCTATTGTCCTTCCAGATTAAGAAATTTCTGTTTGTCCTGGTCTTTTAAAGGGTTGCTACTAGTCTGGCTGTAGTATCCTTATTTTCCTGCTGCCTTTTATTCTGTTATTGTTACAGAATTTTTGTTTCACTGAATTTTGATTAAATCATTTTTATGTCTGTTAACATATTGGTTTAGAATGCACTGGGTGAAAGGCAGTTTAGAAATAATTTAAATGAATGAATGATTTGCTTTAGTGTTCTGGTGTTTAACAGAGACCAAAGAAGTTATGTGTATTTAGAAAGGAACTGATTCTCGGATTCTTTGAAATATCGCTGTGGCCTCAGGCTGTTATTCTGTGCACCCACTGGAGTGTGTCTCACTGAAGAAATTTGCTTTACTTTTGAGTAAACATGCCAAAGAACAGGCTGGACAAATCTGATTTGTGGAACTTGAAATGATTTACTGACTCATGTTCATAACTGTGTATGGAGAAGTCCTGGGTATATGTGAGCAGCTCAGCAGTTGTGCAAAGGGTTAATTTTGTAATCTGTGCTCAGTATCATTATGATCCCAACACTGGCTTGGTCAATAAAAGAAAGGGGTGGATCTAAAAGAGAGGAAACAGCGTGTTTGTGTGCATGCATGCATTTCTGTCTGCGGCATCCAAGCTGTCTCATGTCTTACTAGAAGCAACCGTTCCCATGCTTCATAGAACTCTGTTGAAGACGTATTCCCCATGGCTGACTGAAAAAAGAACTACCTTGGACAGCTGACACCTCTGTCAAAGCCTCTTGCTACAAGATTTTGTTTAAAGGCCTGCTTGCATTCATCAAAAGAATGACCAGATAGTCCCAAACTGTGCTTTCTGCTGCAAGAAACTGCTTCGGAGAGTGAATGATGGATGCACTTAATGACAGCCTACCTAGCATAGATGCAAATCTTTCTGCACTTCTGTGCGATCTCTACGCAGAAAATTATACCATTTTCTGTATGAATGATTATCAGCCTTATAAAGGTAGGTACTTTTCTTTTTAACTTAAACAATTAAACCAACCAAGTTCACCTGTAGTTAATCTATGACCAATAAATGATTTTGAGTCCCTCTATCTGAAAAAGGACATTTGTTGATGCATTTTGATAAAAGCCAGAAATGAATGCTTTGAATTTGTGAATATAAATTTGTGAACATCTAATATCACCTATGAACGGTATGCAGGTTGACTAGAATATTTAATAGCTGCAAAGCAGGGCTGAAAATATTAAAGAGAATAAGTTAAAATACTACTAAATTCCTACAGTGGTTTTAAAAATCAGGGTGAATTTCATTTCAGCTCTTACAAGCAGTATGTAGAAGGAATTAATATACATGGATGTTATTGTCAAAACATGTGGTTTTGGATTACTATCCGAATGTCTAATATTATGGTTTTCCAAACTTCATAAATTCTGTTTTTAAGATTTCATATTTTCTGAAACATTCTTTTGTACTAAGCAATAATACCATATAAGATACTCAGTGCGTCACCTTTTTAAATGAAGCGGGCAATGTATTCTAGGAAGACAATAATCAGCCACAGGATCTGACAGCCTTTTCAAACTGTACGTGGGCAGCTATCAGAGGCCAAGTAGATCAAATAAAGGCATAGTTTAAACCTGTCTAGCTACAACATTCCCTTGCCACCCTTTCTACTAATTTGTTTCGATCAAAAACTGAGATAGTACCCCTTTCCAATTACTGTAAGTATAACTTCTTCCCCTTGTCTGGGCACAGCTACTTGTCCAGTAAAATAATGCAGAGTTCCCATTTGGACATGCAAAGCCACTAATGTGGAAAGCAGAGCTGTGGGAGCATTTTTAGGGGAGATGAAGGAAGCAGAAAGACCTGCTTCGCTCTTGTGCCAGTCATCCGCTGGTCCAGTGTTCTTTTTCCTTTCCCCAACACCTGCCATGTTTTCCAGCTTGACTAGAAAACAATGCTGCGGAAGACCAGCTGGTGAGGTCTAAGGCAGGGAGAAGGCTTGCTGAGGAGAGGTAGCCGACATGGGCTGAGCACCTTTTCTCCTGCCTACTTTGTCTTCCTGGCAAGTCCCCCCCTCTCTGACACCCCCCCCCCACTGTTTTGCACATCAACAATGAACACAGGTGAGGGTTCCTAAACTTGTTGGTCCTCACAAAGCTGGAAAAATGTAGCAGCAAAAAAGTTCCGGTCTCTTAAGTTTGTTGTAGTCATTTGGAGAGGGGAATGTTGGCAGACGCACAGTGGTGGCTGCTGAAAAGAAAGGTGGGGATGTGAAAAACGCCTTGCAAGCAACCATAGGAGTCAAGTAATGGTGGGTGGCGGTGACATTTGAGGAGTAAGCTACTAACGCCAGGGGTCACCCCCTCCTTCCATTGCACTGTAATGAGGAGCACTGTCATGTGAGGTTGAGGAAAGCAACATTTATTGAAATAGACTCTTGAAACAGAACTAGAGCCTCACCCCGTTTCGTACATGGCTGTGTTACACTGTAATGAAAACAAGTCTCATATCACTTGCAACAGCTGTGGGCAGTTTGTGACATCTCACAGTGCTTTGTCCAGTTCTGATAATTTTCCTTTAATTTTTTTTCCTTTCTTGTCTCCTTTTTTTCCCCCTTCATTTCCAGATTTGGGCCAGACAGTTCGGATTTTTCTGTATTCTTTGATCTTTTTGCTCAGTGTACTGGGCAACACTCTTGTAATCATTGTGCTGATCAGAAACAAGAGGATGAGGACCGTCACTAATATATTCCTGCTGTCGCTGGCTATCAGTGATCTGATGCTCTGCTTTTTCTGCATGCCCTTCACCCTCATTCCTAACCTCATGAGGGATTTCATTTTTGGCAGCACTTTCTGTAAAATTACCAGCTACTTCATGGGTGAGTCTTTAAACAGCCGTTGTCTCATTGCCAGAATTTTTTTGATTTTCTGCCTTCCAGTGGATTTGTCTGCTAGGTATTCCTGTGGAACTTGCCACGTAATCCTTTCATATTTCAGGGGCTTCTGGGCATGTATTTCTCCATTTTGTTATATGTATGTCCTGCTTTTCCTCTACAGACTTCAAAATAAAACTACTGTAGTCCCCACTCCCACCCCCCATTTATTATCTGGGAGATGGTAGGTGAGGCTGAGCGAGAACGACTGTTCCCAAGTGGACTTCTAACCATTCCTTAGAGCTCCGCATGAGTCCCACCTGCTTTGGTCACTGAATTGCCTTCTGTGACAGCACCAAAAAGAATGAGTTTGCTTTTATATGGGGGTGTGGGGTGGGGGGTGGCAGCAAAATCTTTTTGAAAGCAACCCATCCAGATTTAAAGCAAAGCATTTTAGAGGCCTCCTGGAAGAGCTAATTGGCATCAAAACAAGCCACTTACTAGATAAATACCTTATTTGAAAACAGATGTTTTAGAAATGTCTAGCTCACACCAAGCCACTGAATTTTCCAGCTGCAGGAATTGCAGTGAGTTGGGTTGTGTTTGATAATGTATTTCACTGGCCCTGGAAGTTGCCCACTAGTACAGGATGCCACACTGAGATCTTCCAGATTGCATCCCCAGTTGAAATAGGGTGCCAGCCCAGACTGTTGGGCTTATGGAGATTTCTTGAAGCACCTGCCATACTTTCTATAGTTGCTGCAGACAGCAGGGAAAGATCATTAATGGTAAAAGGGCTCTGTTCTTCAGGGAAGCCTATCTGCCATTAGTAATCTTCTCCTTGAGAAACTCTTGATAATCTTTCAAAGAACCTCAGAAGAAAATTTGTAAAGCAAATATCTTTTGCAATATCTTTTTACAAAACATTTAATTTGCTTACATGAAAGGCTTGGTTCTCCCAGGGATGGGGCACTTTCTTTCAACTTGTAATATGCTGTTCCATTGGTCTGTTTATATTAAGAGCAAAATTCACCTGTATCCCATTTAGAAAACAGGACCAGTTGTTCAAGGGCTAGAATTTCAGCCAGGATGCCCCTGAACAGCATATCCATTTCTCTAAACAGGATTTTGTGTACAGGATCATGCTGCCTGTCACTTCAGCACACATGCATTGTGTTATTTCAGCCCATATTTTGCTCTTTCTATAATCTTGATACACAGCTTGTGGGGAGGGATATCATCAATGTGCCTTCCTCCCTCTCCTCAGTTGCCAAAATCACAGTATTGAAAGACACAAACCTTTCCAAATGAGATCTCAGCTGGGCATTTCTGCTTGTATGCTGTCAAGGGAAAGACAGGTGCAGTGAAGCATCCCTTTGTGGCAAAAGGAGTTGCTAGAGCATTTTGTTGCTGCTGCTGTATGTATTTTAGTGCCTTTTAGTCCGATGGGTCTTTTCAGAGAGAAGAGAAGCTCTGCCACATTCTCAGAAGTACTCGCTACTAGGACAATTTTAGAGGAAGAAGTAATTCATAAATACCGTCTTAGGGGGATTCTGTGGAAAGACACTCAGACTGAAGTATAAGAACATTTTAATGCAAAAGAAGTTGGCGACATTTGTGTTCAGGAATCCCATGGGACCCCATAACTATTCATGTCTGTAGAGGTGGCTTTGGCTTTCAGCACAAAAGAGACTGGAAAGGGGAGAGGAGGTACCAGGGAAGTGGCTGCAACCTGGGAATGAGAAAACGAATGTGTAGTATATTATAACTACAGATTATTCTCAACATGTTGCCTTTTGTGAAATGCAGCTTTGGATGGGTAGATGGTTGGGGGAGATATGTTTTATCAATTGTAACTGCTACAAATATTGATATGTAGATCAGTTTGAAAACTTTCAAAATCTGAAGCTGACATGGCCTGCAAGATCTCCCCCCCCCGTGATAAACTATGAATAACATTAAAATAATGAAGAAAAGCTGTGATAGCCCCATATGATTTGAAATTTGGGTGATCTTTAGTAAGCTATTCTATTTTATTGTGAGATATGTGGTTTGAGACAAGCAAACAAATAATATCAGATTTTTTTAAAAAAAAATGTTGTGGTACCTTAAAGATGGTTATATTTTAATATGAACTTTTATGGATCAAATCCACTCCTTCCTTCCTTCCTTCCTTCCTTCCTTCCTTCCTTCCTTCCTTCCTTCATTTATTTATTTATTTATTTATTTGTTTGTTTGTTTGTTTATTTATTTAAACTACAACATAAACATAAAATACATAAACCAAAATACTGTGTTCCTCACCACAATAGTCAGAACCTCTTGCACTAATCCTCTTCTTCCTCTATCTTTATTCTTCGTCCTTTATTGTCCTCCAGAACTGCATTGATTTTTGATTTGGAGCTTTCCCTTTTCCTCTTGTTAGCACATATGCAAGAAATGTGCCCCATATATCATAGAAATTTTTCTTTTTCATCTCTCCTTTCTTAACCTTTAAGTTATAAGTTAACTTATCATTTATAGCAATGCTCCATATCTCATTATGCCATTCTTCCATTCGAAATTCAGACGTTGATTTTCAATTCCTAGCTATTATTAATCTGGCTGCTGTTAATAAATTGGTAATCAACTCTCTAGTCATCTTATCATATTCCACATTCTCAAATACTGATAACAGAGCTATCTCAGGATTAAATTCTATATATTTTTAACATATGTCATTTAGTTCTTTAAAGATTAGTTTACAAAATCTTTGTACTTTTTTTGCATTCCCACCACATATGAAAGTATGCACCAATTTTCAACATTCAGATAACTATATTAATTTTATTAAATTTTGTCGGTGTCAAATACCGTCTTAAACCCAATTTGACATTTTTTTCTTTTATTCTCACCGACATAAATCATAAAACCCTCACTTCCCACATCTTCCTCCATTCTTCATCATTTATTCTTTTTCCTAAGTCTTGTTCCCACACTAACTTCAATCCTTTCTCAGTCTCTTCTTCTTCTAGATCTAGCAGGAGTCTCTTCCTTTATTCCCACATATTTTAAACACCTAAGCCTGCAGAAGAGCAGAGGGCAACTCAGAGGTTTACCTTGTTTGTAAGTATTTAGTGATTCAATTCAGGTACTGTATTAGAAGTTTGTAAGCTATGATGTAAAAATATATTTCACCGAATATGTCTTTCCACAAGGATCAGTTAATGAGGGCTTAGGAAGGTACAGGCCGTAATTAATGTATGATAACGTAATAATGGCCTCTTCCACAAAGTCAAACATTTCATGGCATGAAGATTACCCTTAGTTCTGAAAAATTTTGCAACTGGAGCATAGTTTCTCAAGGTATGGGATTGTGGCTGCAAGGGACCACGAAGACCATCTCAGCCAGTTCTCTATCAAAGGGTGATCAGATAGGATTCACGTGCCTACACAAGAGACAGTGCCCAGACCCCTGGAAGGGAAACGAGTCTCTGCTTCTGCACATGTGCCTGTCTCCCAGCTGATCAGAAGTATGGGCAGTGGCAGTGGCATGACAGTGGTAGCGCAAGATGAGCATTTAGGCCCCCCCCTCACTGGGCATTAACCAAAAAACGTAAACCACGAACCATTATGAACCACAATTTTTCAGGTTGATGCCCATCTCATCTCAACTCACAACATTTGTGCTTTATTAGAAATTCAAGCAAACTAGAGTCAAGTGTGTGTGTGTGTGTATTACATTTCTATCTCACTGTTCTTCCAGAATGAGCTCAAGACAACAGCTAACAGCTTTCACCCTTTGTACTTTATTCTCACAGCAACCCTGTGAGGTAGGATACTCTGACACAGACTGAGTAGACCAAGGTAATCCAGTGAGTCCTTGGATCAATGAGAAATATCACCTGGATCTCCTAAAAGCCAATACAGTGCTCTAACTAAGAGTACACTGTCTCCTGTCTGCTTTACTACATCAAGCTTGCTGAGGGTAACTTGGATATAGGCCAGGCCATTCTAGATTGGGCCATACTAACTTGGGAATTTTGGAAGTTGTAGTCAAAAAGAGCAGATTTCTAAAGCTTTTGGGCAGCAACACAACACATAAGAGATAAAAGTGGAGGCCTGAAGAGCAAAAGAACATTGTCTAGGTCAACTCTTGCTCAAAAAATCCACTGGGAGTGTCCCTATTTTGTATATACCTGGCCTACCTGACAGGGTGTTAGCAACTGGCTGATGATCAGAGACTTGTGAAGCAATAATTCATTAAGTGAGCAAGCTGGGTGCCAAGATCCATAGGCTCCAGCCATTTGAAAGACAATAGGCATGGCTGGTAGAGAGCGTCAGGAGGGCCGGTGCAGCTACAGTAGACTGTTAATAAGTGAATGGCTATTTATTATATTAATTATATCTTGATTGCTATTTATTATAGCCATTAATAAATGAAGTCTACTTTCCTACCCAAATTAGCTAAATTCCACACCCAAATGGGGCCTTTGCCCGACACTCAGCCAACCAATTCTGTATCACCTCTACAAGGGTGTTTCAGAATTCCCATTTTCCCATTGTCCTCCCTTAAGCAGGATTCAACTTGGGTCAGCCCAATATATTTTTCTGCCTCAGGTGTAGCAGAAAATTGAACCCCTCATTCAACACTCCCCATGTCAAAATACAGACTACCTAAGGCTGGCTCAGATGTTTTAGTGCAGGGGGCAGAAAATACCTTAATTTCTTTTTTAAAAACCCAGTAATGATAGAGAAGATACGAAAGAGCTTGGTGTCCTTTCAAAACAAGCTGCCTGTGGTAGTCACCTTACATTGCCTAATGGCAAAGCTTGGGGTATAATGTTCCTGCCATGAAGTATACTTGATGTTTTTATTTTGTTTTGTATGTTTTGTTAATAAAGTATATGGCAGTTCTCCAGGCTGCAAGAAAAGGGAATGATTCCCACCTCATATTCCCCCTTTTGCGGAGTGGACATGGATCTCAGTAAAACCTGCACATTGAGTATGTGGAATTTTGAGGGACA